TTATTTATTTATTTATTTATTTATTTATTTAAATATATCTCCACCCGGCCGGGCGTGGCTCAGCGGTTGAGCGTTGACCTAGGATCCAGGCAATCGGTGTTCAATTCCCTGTCAGGGCACATGCCCAGTTGCGGGCTCGATCAATGACTCTCTCATCATTTTTAAATATATCCTTATTGATTTCAGAGAGAGGAAAGGAGGGGGAGAGAGAGAGATAGAAACATCAATGATGAGAGAGTCACTGATCGAGCCCGCAACTGGGCATGTGCCCTGATGGGGAATCGAACCCCGATCGCCTGGATCCTAGGTCGACGCTCAACCGCTGAGCCACGCTTGGCCAGACTATTTTTTATTTTTGTTTAAAATATTACAGATGTCCCGTTTTCTTCCCATTGACCCATTCCACCCCTCCTCCCCAGTCCGTCTCCACACCATTGTCTGTGTCCTTGGGTTGTGCATATATGCATACAAATTATTTGGTTAATCTCTCCCACTCCACCCACCCACCCTCCTCCATCCCTCTGAGATTTGTCAGTCTGATCCATGCTTCCATGTCACTGAATCTATTCTGTTCATCAGTTTATTAAGTTCTTTAGATTCCATGTATAAGTGACATCATGCCATGTTTGTCTTTCTCTACTTGGCTTATTTCGCTTAGCATATTCTTCAGGTCCTTCCATACTGATCCCAATGGTAGGAGATCCTTCCTCTTTACAGCTGCGTAGTATTCCATGGTGTAAATGTCAGTATTCCATGGGTTTTTTACCCACTCATCTACTGATGGGCACTTGGGCAGTTTCCAGATCTTAGCTATTGTAAATTGCACTGCTATGAACATAGGGGTACATATATTCTTTCTGATTAGTGTTTCAGGATTCTTAGGATATATTTCTAGAAGTGTGATCACTGCGCCAAAAGGCTGCTCCATTAAAAAAATTTTGAGGAACCTCCATACTGTTTTCAATAGTGGCTGCACCAGTCTGCATTCCCCCAAGCAGTGTACTAGGTTCCCCTTTCTCCACACCCTCGCCAGCACATGTCGTTTGTTGATTTGTTGATGGCAGCCATTCTGACAGGTGTGAAGTGATACCTCACTGTGGTTTTAATTTGCATCTCTCTGATGATTAGGGATGTTTAACACTTTTTCATATGTCTCTTGGCTATCTGTATCCTCTTTGGAGAAGTGTCTGTTCAGGTCCTTTGCCCACTTCTTAATTGGGTTGTTTGTCTTCCTCTTGCTGAGTAGTACGAGTTCTTTGTACACTTTGGAAATTAGCCCCTTATCAGATAC